ACTACAGGACATGTCACTTTATATCATCAGGAAAGAGTCTTCCTCACTTTTTGCAAGTCTCTTCACTTAGAATCCTCACTCAATATCTATTGCATCTGTAAGTATTTGTTAGACTCCTACCAGCTGAAAACAAGACTGGGATCATTAGGAAAGCACTTGTGTTAGAGGATTTCATCTTGTTTGATCAAGATGATCCTTTCAAAGCCATGGCAAGGTTAGATTAGTCTCACTGTACTATAAAAGCAAGTGTTAGAGTGTCACACACACACACACACACACACACACACACACACTCACACTCACTCTCTCTCACACACACAGAGGCATTGCAGTAGTCTTTATATGACTGTTGTAAAAAGTCTCTAAGTTCTTCTCACTAGAAATTACTCTCTGAAGAAAGGGTAAAAATGTTTTGATTGCAGTTAAGTTTTATTGTGTAGAATACGCTATTTGCCATAAATGAAATCTTAGATAGTAACAATAAAAATAAATCTGGCAAAATTAAATCCTAAAGACAAGCAGCTATGATTAGAAATATATTAAGGTGTGTGTGTGTGTGTGTGTGTGTGTGTGTGTGTGTGTGTGTGTGTGTGTAAACAAATACCATTAAAATATCTGTCTCCTCTGCTTGTTTATGTGAGCAATTACTGTATATTTTCTAACACTATGTATCTTTTTTTGGTATCCAGATTCAAATCATGTTCCAGATGGGTCAGAAATCCCAGGTACACATGTCAGGGGCTAGACTCCAGCTGAGACTGGCACACTGCTGGGCCAAATGCTGGACTGCTGTCTGCCATCATTGCAGATCTCTCTTGCTGGTGGCTCTTATCCCAGCTACTGACAGGGCCCTCCCATTTGCCCTGCATCTACTTGGGCAGGCAGGAAGGCACAACTGGGGACGGTAGAGCAATGAGGAGCTGCTGTGACCACAGCCTGTGCCAACAACCTGGCACACAACCCATCCTTTGCCCTTCCTCCTGACTTGGCACTGAAATCAGAACTAACAAGTAACTAAAATATACTGAATACCAATCCCGTGAACATTTCTTATTTGTTGCCATAATTTTACAATTTAAAATTTATTTAGCCCTGTATGCTAAGAAAGGAAGGTATTCCCATCACCCTTCTACCCCAAGGACAGTTGTACATAATCTGCTAGACACATTGAAGACATGTCAACATAATTCCAAATATTCTGAAAGAAACTGTGCAGAGGATATGGAAACAACATACTATAAACAGCGTTAACTCTTTTATTCTAAGGAAGCATTTCTGAGTAAGGTAAAGGGGTTTTTAAAGATTTTGTATGTACAGCAAAGCATGTACACACACACACACACACACACACACACACACACACACACACACACACCTCTCCTCAAGTTGGTGGGAATATTTCCTCCAGAAGCAAAGGCCAATTTTAAAGCCCATCATCAACTCACGGACCCTTATATGTAGAAAATAAACAGATCCTGCTTTCTCTGTCCCTTCAAGAACTCACTCACTGTCCCCGTTTTGTCCCACACTTTATCTACTTTCCCAGGTGAGAAAGCCAATGACCTTTTTCTGCTGAGTGATATGCAACATGGTAGTGGGTTCCAAATACCCCTAATTATCTTGCTGGGACCGAAGAGTCCCAAAGTCATCACTGTCCAACAGCAAACCATTGTCCATCATTGTCCACTCGTGACCAGCTTGAACACCTCTCATGGCCCTTATGTCAGCTAGTTGGTAAAGATTCTTGCCTCCCTCCAAGTAGTGTCCTAAAATATCTAATGTACTTTAAATTATAAAGGTCAAAGTTAGAACAATACTGTCTATTTCTGTGTTAAGAGAAAATGAAAATAAAAATGTCTAAATCATAGATTCTTGTTCCCTTTCCCTTGTCCTATCTCCTATCCTCTTTAATAGTCCATATATATTGAGGATTTACATTGGGCTTTTGTTCTTTCCTGAATAATCACAAGGTTTTTAATACTTTAGGCACATGCCCAGTTTGCTTAATTTTTATATTGAATGACTGGCAAAGCCAAAACTCTCCAAATGTTCAACCTAAGAATGGAACCCCATATTAGAAATGTACTGACATACATGGTCTGGTGTTATTCAATGATAGTAATAAAGACACATACACAATATGGGGCTGATTTGTGCATCCCATTCTTTTCAGATAGCTATTTTTAGCCTGTGACTGTGACATGCATTTGTTTTATTAAACAATGTCACACTTTTAAATAACCATATATTCAAGGTCTTTATCATTCAAGGAACATGAAGGTTGTGCATTTAATCCTTAGGTTGGTTGTAGAAGATTTGATTCACAAAGTAGGATAGATAAAAATAAGCCTGCAGCAGCATGGTGCCACATCATCAGAATTCACCATCTTATCAACAAATGGAAGCCATTCTTCTTTATTTCATAAGCGAAGCAGTTTCATATAAGATAAATAGCTTTCAGTCAGAATAGCCTAACACACAATATGCATCTTTTTGACATGAATATTCTAACACTACTTTATACCATAAGATTAAAATAAGAATAATCTCAGGGTTGTGTGTTGAAAGTGACACAAGTCAAATCTGCATTTTTCTAGTATTTGTCTGCTGAAAGTAGACTCTCTGAGGGTATGCTTATATATAAGAGGCTATTGTTGAATATTCAGCACTGCTTGACTTTCAAGTACCTCATTCTAAAAAGTCGTATGCAGGGAAATCATTTCTGACATTTGTCCTCTTTATATGTCCAATAATCAAAGTCACATGATGTGATGTGTTTTGTTTTCAGGGACCAAGAAAGATTGCAATCTCATAGGCATAGGAGACTGAGTCTCGGATATATGACTCGAAAAATCTACTTAGCTCTTCTTGTTTTAGTTTTTCTATCTTGTGAATATTACCCTTTAGGAAACTGATAAAGGAGCAGAAATTTTCCATGTTAAAATATTTATCTATTTTTATCTTTACTGGGTCACACATACAGAAGGTACAACTTTGACCTTTACAGCAGTGTGCCTTTGGTCACAGTCCTACCTCTCCTTCTCATCTATTTGTTTGACTTCTTGAAAATTCGTTTCTTATTATTTTCTGCAGCTGGAAATAGGACAAGATAGGGTTTTGAATTGTAGAAGAATAGCAAGTATTTTCAAACATTTAGAAACCACTCTTCTCCCTCCTTATATTTCATGGTCACATTCTTTCGGAGATTGGCTATGTCACTGCACATGATCAACACAACAAACCTACAGACTTGGTTTCTTAGCACGCATTGTTTAGTTAGGAGCCATGAATTGAAATTACAGGATGAAAAAGAAGCTACCTCATCTACCTAAGAGCTATCTCTGCATCAATTCTCCCTGGCAGATTTTATCTGAGCTCATGCTACTGGATAAGCCATCTGCTTTTCTAAGTCTTTACCTGCCTTTAGACTTCATTCTCCTGTGCTTATCTCTCAGTCCCCAAAACTTCAAATAAAACTTTAAAACCCAGACTTAGAATCATTTCTACTGGTGTTGGGCATGCTTACCCAAAGACTTTGGGAAAGGATAGATATATGTGCAAACACAAGATTGCAAGTATGTAAAAAGTAAGAAAGGTTCTGAAAAACTACATTAATTCTTACCACACATGAAGCAAGTATAGCCAGACTCCACCTCCGTTTGGAGGACTTTTGAAATTAGGTACAGGATAACCCACAAAAGAAGTTAAGAGGTCTGGTGCTATATACAGAATTTCCCCTTGCTCGCCATCTGAACTGTTTCTGCAGTGTTAAGCCCAGCAATGCTTCCCACACATTGGGCTGGGATCTTATCTCTGAAATCACTAGGATCTCATTTAAGGTCCAAGGCAGTTCTCACCGTAATTAGGGAGGTTAACTGTCTAGCCAAGCTGGGAACAGCACACAGGAAAATAATAAATGTGAAGACCTTGCACTGAAGCTTTAGTAAGAGTATTATGTTTGAAGCAAGTAGTTAAAAGCTACTGTCAGTTTTAGTTTTGAAAGAGAAGACTGGACTCAGTGGTTTAAAATATGTGTTTTAAGCTTTGAAGTTAGATTCCATTCACTTTTTGTCTTTTTCTCTTAAAAAAATTGTTTGAGAATTCCATACATGAGTACACTATATTCACATCGTTCCCTCCTCTCCTCCTCTTCCAGTTCTCACCATGCTTTCCCAACATCCCCATCTGTAATCGTTCACATGCATGCAAGCAATAACAACTATGTATCATAACTGTGGTGTCCTATTAGTTTTGCCCTATTTGCATGTGTTTAGAGCAGAGGCTCCATGGCCTTCCCTAAACTCAGGGTTTGGATATTTGACTAGACTTAGTAGAAATGGTGTTCTGAATGGGCAATTGTAAAAATCAAAGATATTCCATTTTATAAACACAGCTGGCATAACTTGTACTCAGCCATAGATGAATCGGCATTTATTATTTCATCCTTAATTTATATTTACAAATACAGAGAGCCATTCCTGATAATAAAGGTGAATGCTGAATATTTTTGCAAGCTATTATAACATTTATAAAGAGTACTATAAACACACACAAGATGTGGCTATATGGTAATGAAATGAATTTTCCTGTATGGTAGGATAGCTCATTACCTTAGAGGCAGGCTCTGTGTTGTTTTTTGCAAAACTTGTGTGACTTTTCTCACTAATGACTCATGCTGTCACTAAAATAGTTGCCTCTGAGTCCCTTGGTCTTTGAGAATGCAGGCATCCACTTGTGTGTAATTTAATAGCTTGCGAGAACCAAAACAAGAGACCCAGAGAAATATTTTCCTTTTGTAAGAAAACAGTGAAAAATCTTTTCCCTAATTACACATTTTGACCAGAGCTGTATCTGGTATTATATAAAAATTTTCTCATGTTATATGGAAGAATGCTTTATATGATTCTTAGTAAGTAACATTGTGGCTTTGCTTGTAACAGTTTCACTATTTTTTCAAGGCATGATGGTCAGAAGGGAGAGAAATGGGTGTGTACACTTACTTTCTTCATCCAGGAGACTCTCAGCAGCTGAGAGTAGCCTCATCCTGTCTTCTGCATTGGCAATGTTTAATTCAACAAGATGACTTTCTTTAATGTCCTTCAAGTCTTCCAGGGTCTCATAACCATTGAGCAGAAGTGTTGAAGAATATTCCTGTAGGAGGAGGGAAAGTGTTTAATTTGTAAACTAGTAGGGCTCAAATATTGTGTTATATCTAAATGAAAGTAACTATAGATATAGTTATAGATATAGATATAGTAACTATATCATAGCAAAAACACCAATGGAACTTTTGTGTAAGCTCATTTTATTTACACTAGTTTCCACAAACAAACTCTAGGGCACGTAATAGAAAGCACTGTAAGTTCTTAACCTTCAGAAGGACAACTGTAAAGAAGAAATAATCACTTGGATCTATAATAGTGGGAAAGCATGGATCATTTAACAGTTGAATTGTCCATGGCATTTGGCACTTTTACTTCTTACCTAGTTAAATTGACACAGCATTTTCTTTTTTTCAATACAGTATCTCTAATCAATTACATTATAGTAATATTTCTGAGCAAGTCTCTCTTTTTGATTGCTTGGTCATGAAAACATCTACTCTATTTTCTTAGAGTAGCTAAAAAATGAACTTGATCTCCAGTGAGATGGGTCAGTAGCTAAACTGCTTGCTGCCTAGGCTGATGACGTATTTTGGGTCCCAGAACATAAATGGTAAGAGAAGAAATTCACTCTTGAAACTGTCCTCTTACACACACACACACACTAAATGAATGAATAAATAAATGTGAAAAGTAAAAATGAACTTGAAACAGAAACAATTCTGTATACAAAATGAGTTTAGCTTTTTGACTGATTGAAAGGTGTTACGTAGCTAATGAATCACAGATGTGTACTTAAGTTTTAAATTAAAATTTTAGTTACATATGAAAGGCTCACAGTTAAGAAAAGTGTTTATTTCCTTTCCTCAGTACGGATATTTTGTCTGTCATTTGCAATGACATATATTAGTGTAAAATTCATAGACTTCTGATCATAAAGTATCTATGTGATTCTCAACCTGTGGGTTGCGACCCCCACCAGGGTTGTTTATCAGATATCCTTCATATCATATATTTACACTAGGATTCATAACAGTAGCAAAATTATAGTTATGAAGCAGCAACAAAAGTAATTTTAGGATTGTGTTTATCACAACATGAGGAACTGTATTAAAGTGTTGCACCATGAGGAAGGTTAAGAATCCCTATTCTGGGTTATTTCTATAACCACTGTCCTAGCAAACTGAATATGCAAAGTGAAGTTAGTTTGTTTTCAGCTTTCTCAAAAATGTCATAGTTTTAGTATCATAGTTTTTCAATTCTTTATTCCAGTTACTAAATTTGAATATGATGTCAGAAAGTTTTAAGTAATCAAGAAAAACTTACCACAAAGCACATTTTAACCAAAAAAAGAGGGGGGAGAAGAGTGATAATTTGTTTAAAAACAGTGTGTTTTAGAATAACACAGAATACCCAAGTTTCCATTCTTACACAGCAATCTATGACTTCTCGAGTACAAAGTCTAATACATTTAGGCGTTTTTCCCTGGGTGACAAAGGCAGGTTTCAAACTGTGTTTGCTTCCAGGACTATCACACTATACCAATCATTCTATAATGAAACCTAAACAGTATGTTGGAAGACAGGAGAGTAAGTTAATAACTCAGAAATACCAATTAAGAAAAATATAATTGCTATTGTCTTGATGGATTGCGCTCTCCAAGTACTGACGAGTGACTTTTACAAATGGGAGGCAAAACTGAGAATGGAGTGGTACTACTTAGGGTGTGTACTGTACTATGTAGTATATTCTACCACTTAACAAGAGCTAGTTTTTCAAAGGTACACATAGAATAAAAATAGGATTATAAAAACAGACCATTGGAGTGCCAGTGGTGCGATAGGTTCAAGTGAGGTGCTTATAAAACAAATTTTTCTACGAAATGACCATGTGAACAATAATGATTGCTATTTCTGAAACTACTTCTCAGATGGTTATTTTTATATTTTCTTTGCACTTCATGTTGATCCCTCTACTATAAAAAATACTGCCTTTCATTTTTCTTCTCAGTCCCTCAAATTTCACTGGAGTCTTCACATTCTCTTTATCATTCTCACTTAAACATTTTTCCACAGTCGCCTGGTCTCCTAGATATATATTCTTTTATTTTCATTGCCACTTCTCTGCATTAATCTCTACTGCCACTGGCTGCTAAGTACCATTAGGGTTTAGTCCAAAGGGTGCTACATCAAGACGTGTCCTTAAAATAGTAAAAGTAATTAAGGAGATAGAAGAGCTGTTCTAGGAAAACAGACCCCCACACACACACTGTAAATCTTGCACTTTTAACAACCCTATGAAAATACTGATCCACTCTCCTGACCTATTCTACCCATTCTCCAGCAAAAAAAAAGGTTTACTAACCTGCAGGTGAATCTGCTCCAGGAACTCCTGCAGAGTCTTGGTGCTCTCTCTTTTACTGCTTCGCTGTGCCTTTATTCTCTTAGGAGCTGCTTCCTCTT